AAAAAAAAAAAAAAAAAAAAAGAAGTAAAGAGAGTTTTATCTCCCCCTTCTTCTATTAAAATAAACAACTCACACGCAAGAAGGCGACATGTACTACTTGTTCTCCTGGCCTTTTCCTTCGACTTCTTCGAATGAAACACACTATAAAAATAATATATTACTGACTTAAGCATTACCCCGAGATCAACCCTCGAGGTTTTACAGGTTGTTGTTTGTGCTGTTAACTCTGGATTGGCAAGGCTGATCTATGCAATCACACCACGTCTCTGGCAGCGTGAGGCTTGCTCGACGAAGAAAGGAAGGTTGGTGGCCGACAAAGCTCTATGATTTTCAAATTATTTAATGCAGAGGTTTATTTTTGGAGTCGACCTTCTGATGACCAACAATCTTAAGTTAGATTCAAAAATGCATCACTAGGAAGCTATCCAATGTCTTCTCCCATCAGTAGCAACCAAGAACCTTCTTCAATGGTTGCCGAAGTAAACATGGGCACCGATCCTTCTCCCCCAGTTATTCGAACTACCGTCGTTCAAGCTTCCAGCGTCTTCTATGACACCCCTGCTACTATGGGTGACAACTGTTTACCATCTCCATTTTTGAACTTTCATCATTTTTCTTTGATTGATAAATGATTTTGGCCATGTGGGTTTTGCGCGGTGTAGATAAGGCGGAGAGATTGATAGCGGATGCTGCTGGATTAGGATCACAACTGGTGGTTTTCCCAGAGGGTTTTATTGGTGGGTATCCTAGAGGACTTAACTTTGTAGACCGCACGGCTAAGGGGAAAGAAAGCTTCCGCAAGTATCATGCTTCAGCCATAGCCGTTCCTGGTAGGAGAGCAATACCTGTTTTTCATTCTAGCTCAACCAAAGATTGCTTTTGATTAGTTGATGTCTAGGTCTTTTAGTGCCAAGCCAAGCCCAAAGGTTCAATCTTTAGCTTGTGACAAAGAAATGTTTGTGATTGAATTACAGGCCTGAAATGACAAGTTCTCCTGGTTTTGTTTCCCTTCTTAATTTGCCAAGAGAAGATTTGTCTGCAAAGATTCACTACACTACATATGCAATTAGTTTATTTGATATTTACCATGTAAATTCTTTGTCTTCTTTAATTATATAAAAGATGTTTAATTATGGAAGTCTATCCAAAATTGCTATCTGTGGATGCAGGGCCTGAAGTTGACCGACTGGCAGCCCTGGCTGGAAAATACAAAATTTACTTGGTGATGGGTGTCATAGAAAAGGATGAATACACATTGTATTGCACCGTTTTGTTCTTTGATTCTCAAGGCTGCTACCTTGGGAAACACCGGAAAATCATGCCAACAGCTTTGGAACGTCTAGTTTGGGGTTTTGGTGATGTATCAACTACTCCAGTTTTTGAAACTCCAATTGGGAAGATAGGCTCTGTCATTTGTTGGGAAAACAGAATGCCACTTCTGCGAACTGCAATGTATGCCAAAGGTAAATCCTTTTTTAACAGTTAAATTGCAGATTCCTGGCTCCACTCCTCTCGGATAGAATTGAGTATCTTTAATTAGTATCTCTACATCTTTGTAGGCATTGAAATATACTGTGCACCTACTGCGGATCGCAGTGATACTTGGCAAGCAACAATGACGCACGTTGCACTTGAAGGTGGATGCTTTGTTCTATCACCTGCTCAATTCTGCCTTCGGAAAGACTATCCACCTCCTCCTGAATATACATTCAGTGGCACGGATGATGATCTCTCACCCGATTCTGTTGTGTGTCGCGGTGGCAGTGTCATTATTTCACCGCTGGGAACTGTTCTTGCAGGACCAAACTATGAAGGAGAGGGTCTCATCTCAGCTGATCTAGGTATTCTACCAATGCTCTTACTCTTTACCTGAATCTATATTATCCTAACTTCAACATGATGCTAAACATGCACCTATGTTTCCTTATGATGGAATGATATACAGATCTTGGAGAAATTGCTTGAGCAAAGTTTGATTTTGATGTGGTGGGACATTACTCTAGGCCTGATCTGCTAAACCTTGTTGTGAAAGATGATCCATTAAGTCCAGTGACATTCAAGTCTGGAAAAAGCGAAAAACTGAAGCAAGAACCTGGTTGGATCAACAAAGCTTAATTCTGAACCTGTAAGGGGAAGTCAGCAGTACTAATAATCAATAAATTTGTGGAATTTGATCAAAATTCTGCTTCTACTATAAATAAATAAA